CCCCGTCCACAGGGAGCAGGAAAGTTGCCGCCTCCTCGTGCGCCCTCCTGGACCTGGTATGTGGGGGGAGGCACTGGCGGGGGCGGGAGGGCAGCGTGGGGACAGGCTGAGCAGGACAGCGAGCAGACACCAGGACCTGGATGAGACAGGGCAGAAGTCGGATCCCTGAAGTGCGAGTTGTTGGTGCTGCAACAAGATCCCCATCCTGACGCTCCTGCCGGCCCCTCCAGTGCCTGAGAGTCTGACTTGCTGCTGACCTCGCGGGGAGGTCACCTTCATGTGGACAATCCTGCCTGGGGCGTGGGGTGGACACAGCCAGGCTGGGGTGCCTTGGGGGGCTGAGGGTGCGGGCGGCCGGGAGGGAGGGCGTGGTCCGTGTCTGCCTCTGCTGCCCAAGCCCGGGCCAGCAGCCGGGGGGACCCATGGGCAGCCGTGTGGAGGGAGGACAGGGCTCACTGGCACTGAGGCATGCAGGGGGCAAGGAGCCTCCTCCAGACAAGCGGCCGGAAGGAATCTCTCTCTGGCATTGTCGCCAACCGGACAGTGGTCAGCGCAGAGCTGGCCACCCTGGGGTAGTTGCATGGACTGTGAGGCCGGGTGTGGAGGGACACGGAGTGACCAAAGTCCATGTCCTCCTCTAACAGGAGTGACCCCTTCATGTGCGGTCCCGTCTGGGACTGCGGGACGAGAGGACACACAGGACAGTCCCTGAACCTCCCCGAGGCATGTTCACCTTTGACTGAAATGTGAATATTTGTGTCCTAAGGGCTCTGCAAGGCGGAAGCGGCCCCGAGGGCAGGAGGGATGGGGTCAGGGGTGTCCACTTGGAGCCCGGGGCTGGCCGAGACCTGGGTGAGGGACACGCACTGCCTGGCGGGGATGGGCCGTGGCCTCAGAGGCGAGGGTGCCTGGTGCTTTTCCCAACTCCGGGGATCCCTGTGGGCATGTTTAGGAGGACACATTGTGGCCCTGTGTCCATCCCCCTTGGCCTCGAGGACGACCCATGCCCCGTCCCTGGGGGATCCGGCCTGTGGCCATTGTGACCCCTAATGCTCTGGGACTCTGAGACCCCAGGGAGATGACACCCCCTTTGTCCTGCTTCTCATGGTTGCCGGGGAAGGTGCCGTCATCACCTCAGGCATGGTGTCCTTTAGGGGCTCAGCGAGAAGGTCGTTGGGCGATGGAGGACCTGGGGTGGTTCATGTGGTGATCGCGGGGACCCCGTGTCCTCACGAAAACTTTTCTAGCTGAAACTTCTCAGCCAGCGAAGAGAATGTCCATCCTTCCCTCTATCCTGGCTGCACAGTGTCCAGCCCCGGTGCCCACGTGTGTGTGTCAGAAAACAGACCCAGGTGCTCTGTCACCCCAGAGGCCCTGGGGGGAGACAGGGGACAGCGAGCAGGAGGGATGGATAGGATCCGTTTGCCACAGTCAGACGCCGCAGGAAATGACGAGACAGGATTCATTCAGGACACACAGATTCGATCAAATGATGAAATCAAAAGAAGCATCAGGAATACAGGAGATTTTATGCAGCGCAACCGGCATCTGAATCGTGGTCACTGGCTCGGCAGCGGGGCTGCTTCAACCTCAGTCGTAATTGTGAGAGGCTGTGGCCTCCTGACCTGCGAGGAAAGTGTCTCTGGGGGCCTGAGGCCGTGTTGGGTTGGGGTATCCTTCCTGTTGTTGCATTTGTGAGGTTTTGTGTACTTTGGACGCTCGCCCTAGCCAGGCGTGTGATGTGCACACAGCTTCCCCTGGAGCAGGAGTCTGTTTTGCGATGGCGTCTTCTGGACCACTGGAGATCAATAGTGTGGTGGGGCCACTTGTTTTTGCCGGTTTCTCTGTCCTTGGCCTTGTGTCCCCAAGTCCACCTGTGGGAAGGTGTCCAGTAGGGCTGCCCTGTGTTCTTTCTGGTGTTTTATGGTTTTGTCTTATCCAGACTTTAACCATGAAACCTACTCTGCATCAGTAATTCTAGGGGCAGCACAGGTCCACGCCACAGGGAGTGATCACCTGTGAGTGGGGAGCAATCATGGACTGGACACACCAGGAGGTGAGGGAGGGAGAGAAAGGGCCTCACATCTCTTCCTCCGTGCAACCTTCCTTCAAGTGCAGTTTCTTTTTTTTTTTTTTTGAACAGAAGTGTGACTGTCTCTTAGAGGAAGATGCCCCATTAGGAATGATGAGGGGTGGGGAACCCCCACTCAGCAGTCTCCCCCTCCACAAGGGCAGGACCCTCAGTGGACACACACATAGACTGAGGGAACCAATGCCCAGGACTGGGGTCCCTTCCCCAGGGTCTCCCCAGGATGACACCACTTTACCAGTTTCATTTCACATAAATGCTGGTGATGTGTGAGAACATTCTTTCTACAGCATGTACATGTTTTTAGTCCTGAGCTGGATTCAGTTTGTAAACATCACAGAGGGAGGGGTTTGGCAAAGGATTGCAATATTTTTGGAAACTACACCTTATGGAAGAATATGAGAATAAATTTCTGCCAAAGTATTAAAACCTAATGACAGGAGTCATTGCATTGTAATGATGACGTATCAAAATTAGAGGGAGAATCTGTATAAAAGACAAAGTATAATTGTACAATGTGATATCTCATTTGATGGGAAATGGACCCTTGATCAGTCTCCCCACAGCCGACTTCATGACTTGGATCCTCAATCTGTATATGACGGGATTAAAGTTGGGGGGCACCACCGTGTGGAACATAGAAATGATCAGGTCAGGCATCGACGGAAACTCTGAAGTCGGCTACAGAAAATCAAAGCATGCCATGCAGAGAAATAGCACCACAACCAGCAGGTGGGGAAGGCAGGTGGAGTAGGCCTTGGGTTTCCTTTCTGTGGATGGGATCTTCCTGACAGCAGAGAAGATGTGGGCAAAGGAAATGACGATGAAAATGAAACAGCAGAAATCCAACACCACACCAATGACAGTGGGGATAAGTTAATTGATTAAATTTCCTGAGCAAGAAAGAGCCAATAGCTGGGGGATGTCACAGAAGAAATGGTGGACCACGTTGGACCCGCAGTTGAACAAGCAGAAGGTTCCAGCTGTGAGTATCAAAGAGATGACACACCCACCCAGCCAGGACACAGCTGTCAGCTGCACACACCTGTCCCTGCTCATGAGGATGTCATAGTGCAGGGGTGGCAGATGGCAACATAGAGGTCAAGGCTCATCACCGTGAGCAGGTGAAGCTTTGCACCTGCTGACAAATCCAGTATAAAGACCTGGATGACAATGCCAGGGAAGGAGATGGAGCTGCTGTGCCTCAGAGAGTTGGCAATGGACTTGGGGACCATGGCTGAGATGAGGCAGAGGTCCGAAAAGGACAGACTCCTCAGGAAGAAGTACATGGGGGTGTGGAGGTGCCGGTCCAGGGTGGTGATGAGGACGATGAGCCCGTTCCCCAGGAGGGCGCACAGGTAGACCAGGGAGAAGAGCAGCGGGTGAAAGAAGCCCATGGTCCCCTGGATGGGGAACCCCAGGAGCACAAATTCTGTCACGGCCGTGAGATTGGTCACCCCTGGGGCCATCATCTGCATAAAAATATCAATCAGAATACAAAATATGTGAAAACTTCCAGTAGTGTCTAAATGACACCTACAAGGATAGTCACAGGCATGTCCCAGCAGTCACTCTCAAGGTGTAGAGTGGAGAGGCTGATCATGGGATTATGCTCTGGTTGATCTCATAGCCTGACTGACAGCCCCTCCCCACTGCCCCAATCTTGCTTTCCCACCTCCTGCCCAGGCCCCAGAGTCTCTGCCCAGCACACCTCCCAGAGGTTGTCCAGGACACAGCCCCAGAGGACACGTGACCATGACCAGCCCCTCCCCATCCTGGAGAGCCTGTCCCTGCTCCTCCAGCACAGCCCTAGTCTGGGGAGGCCCCACAGGGACGGGTGTGAAGTGAGATGGGGTGTGCGGGGTCTCTGTTTTCCTGCCCCCAGGACCTGACACTGTCCTGGAACTGAATGATCTGGGCTCGGCATAAACATGCGGCATGTCCTGACGCCTCCTCTGTCAGATACCTGCCCCTGTGGCCTCCCTGCTGCCTCCTGGTCCGTCTCCTCGTCTCCTCATCTCCCTGCCCCTGACTCCCCACATCTGAGGACCCAGAGACCACGTTTCCCACAGAGTCTCCTCCTGGGTCACACCCACGCATACCTCCTGCAGGATGGGCTCGTCCACCCCCGCATCCCTCCCGGCCCCTGTGTCCCCCTCAGGCTCATGCACATCTCTGCAGGGAGGAGGCTGCTCCGGAGCTGAGCTGGACGGTGTGTGGTTGTTGCTGTCCCTGCTGGTCCCAGGAACCCGGGTCCCCCGGGTGCAGGTTTTTTCTTCCCCCCAGGCCCGTGCATGAGTGGGGACGTCTGGACACGGGGCAGCCCTGCCCACTCTTCTCCTCCCCAATCTCATCCCCCCTGCCATGGGATGACGGATGGGAGGCCCTGGGGAGGAAGGATCTTTAGGAGATTGTGCTGCTATAGAATTATTGTATGAGACTAGAGGAACAATTTTTGCTAATTTAATGGAAACAAGAAAATAATTTCAGAACCTGCTGTTTTGTGCCCTCTGCCAAAACATTTTCAGTGACTTAAAATAATATTTATATTGATAATATTATGTTTTATATAGCTGTGTTGCTGTGTGGGGTCAGGTAAAATGTTCACATCCATGATAGACTGATTTCTACACGTGACTATCACTTCAGTGTGAAGTAAAAAAAGATCAATATTTATCGTCTTAAAAATTTATGAATATCTCACGATTGTGTCATATTCTGTGGATGAACGTGTGAAGCTTTCCCTTTTAAACTATTAGTGTGAATTTTAACTTCTCTTA